AAATAAAATATTAAATGATCACTAATGTGGATATATTATTTCAAGTGTTGCTCTTTATTATGTCCAGATTGTTTTGAAGATTCCATTGCCATAATATTATCATTGTATGCTCATTTTTGTTATATGTTTATTTTTTTGTGTAATGACTGTTTTGACAACATGTTTCCATTTTTTGTCTTACCGTTTGTTATGTTTATCAAAATTTGTAAAAATGTGTATTCGTGTGATGGGATTTCCGTGATTTCAATTGAAATTGATGATTTTCTTTTTTGTTTGTTTTTATCTTGTTATTGCATCTTTGTCCTGTTGGGGTAATTAAATAAATAAATAAATAATAGAAGAAGAAGAAGAAGAAGAAGAAGAAGAAGAAGAAGAAGAAGAAGACAATGAATCCGGCAACTAAATTCTGGCGCGGGGTCCATGCGTGGGTTTCGCGCCAGCAAGGAGTTGAGGTTTAATGATCCGGCCCTAGGTCCGCGGGGAAAATCCACGTGTTGCTCACGTAAACGGACAAAGGGCGGCTTGTAGTCCCTTCGGATCAGCCAGCAGCAAGGCCCGCCGGCGCACGACAGCTGGGAGAAAGAGCCTGAGAGCTCAAGCACTGGCTTAGAGGGGACGCGTCTCTCGCGCCTCGGCGGAATCGCGTCGCTCGGGTAAACAGCGACGAAACGAAAATCCGGCCTGCAGTGGAAGACTCTCCGAAACTCAAATGATGTGCGCATATATGTAGGAAAGATGTATATGCATGTAAGTTTGTCTGAAATTATGTAAGCATGTAGCTGGCATTTTAGGGTTGGAATAATCAGACTTTCGCCAGCCATATGTATGAAAGAATGTGTGTAAGTTTGTATGTAGATATGTAAGCATGTATTTGGCATTTTAGGGTTGGAATAATACGACTTTCGCTAGCCATATGTATGAAAGAATGTGTGTAAGTTTGTATGTAATTATTTAAGCATGTATTTTGCATTTTAGGGTTGGAATAATTCGACTTTCGCAAGCTAGCGGGGTTCCCAGGCCTCTTTATTTATTATCAACGCCGGTGCTAAGGGAGACATGTGGCGAGCATAACGTGTTTCCAACACCGTACCTAGCATGCTTGGCCGGTCTGTGCTTTTTCATTGCGTCACCTGGATATAGAAACTGAAATTGAATTATAAAGCTACATTTTCATTTATGCTCCGGCCGGAAATCGAACCCGCGAGCACCTGACACAAAGGTAGCATTCATGAGCCATCCGAGGGGCTATTAAATGATGTACTAATAAAAACATGACATTTCGTTATATTGGAGAGAATAATTTTCGAGAATATTGAAAAATACTGAAAAAAGAATCACAAAGAAATTCAGAAACATAAATGAAAAAGTGTGAGAAAGCCATGAAGGGTAGAGAGAAGAAGCAGAGAAAGAGAAACAAACAAGGACAATAAGACACAGACAATAGAGAGAGGCAGGGACGAAGCAGTAGAGTCAATTAGAGATACAGACTGATATGAAAAAAACAACAACAAAAACAGATAAAATAAGAAACAAATGTGCCAGGACAGAAATATGGTAATTTAATTTGATATTTGAGATCATCTCTTATAGAAGAGGGATTAAAAACGACATATTTGAGAAAGAAGAGGGAAGACAAATTGAAGACAAGGAAATGACAAGTCTCCAGGAAGATGAGCAAACATAAGAACTAATAATAAAGTTTTGTTTTCGATTCGGCAATTCATCTACAACATTTAAATAATTTACAGATGTTTCAACTATCAGACGTAGATAACTTTTCTCTACTAAAATATATATGCTGCTCATTATTGGGAGAATAATCCAAAATAATTTCTACCTTTTTGAACTGAACGGAGAGTCATGACACCGGGAAGATCGGACAAGAACAGGCAATTAGACTTTTCAAACTGCTAAATTTCTGCGCTGAGGTGAAATCGGCTACCGTCAAAATGTGTGGCCAACGATCTCATTTCTAAATATAATTAAATAAGCTTATAGAGTCAACAAGCGATCCTCAATAGGCATTAATTGCTCATTTTACTGTGATTAGGTTTCAATTCGTAAACGTGCGATTTACAGTCAGTGGCGGTGCTACATTGGTTTCGTAAAATGATATTACTCATGCTGAATATTCGAAACACATTGGATGTTTTTAATCATGTATTTGTTATATAAGAGGAACTGGGAAGCAACCCCATTTTCCGGTAATAATAATATTAATAATAATAATAATAATAATAATAATAATAATAATACGAGTAAACATTACATTTTATTTGATTATCACGAAGAAAGGAACAATATTGATGGTATTTTCTGTTTTTCCCGCCCCCGTAACCCTCCATATTAAATTATTTAATTTCCCTCACGTAGGAGGTAGAAAGCCCACGGACAGCCTGTAATTTAACTCCATCCACCTAGCGAGGCGTGGCGGCGGCGTTCCTTAAAGCGCCACGACACCTCCCACGCTCGATGTTTTTCTTGCACGCGCTTCGTTAATCCATCGCCCCAAAGGCTCGTCTCGCGAGGCACGTCTCGGGAGAGGGCCAGGGGTGGGGATGCATTCCAAGCGGCGGGCGAAGGGGTGAGGGCGGCCCCTACGCAACAGAATAAGACCGCCAGGCGCAAGAGTACACCATTCTCGAGCGGACACATTCCACGCAGCTCCCACACTGCTCCCACTCCCGACACTTGCCACACGGCTGGGTCCCATTCAAACGTTGCATTAATATTTCTCTACAATTAGAGACTAGGCACACCATCAGAAAGGAAAATCATATTCCTGTTAACAGTTCTTTACAATACAATATTTTACATTTGTATTATTTAATTTTAATAAAACTTAATATGCTTGTACTAGACAGGTAATACACTTAATTTTCTGGGTCAATAACCCTCATCTCGATCATTTTTTCGTCCGCCGAAAGTATTTCTGATCCATTGAAGAAATGGTAAGGTAGCCCCTTGTGTTGCTTCTTAGAACACATTTAGCTTCACTGTCTCAAATTGTATATGTACACTACACATCACATACGATTTTTCAGAAAATAAATCAAATTAAATTAATCGAATCACCGCCTGTAGCACAACACTCGAAATTGGCTGCTCTACTATCTGGTGTTTACGATTGGTATGAATGTGTTACCAAATGGATAAATGAAGAAAAAACGGAAAATTCATATGGTCTTTATTCATCACTTTCCCTTCGCCGATTAAATATCGGTTGTTGCGTTTCGTGAGGAAAGAGTTAGCGCATCGCGGGCATTGCTTAGGCCCACTGCGCGGGGCGTCGGCGAGAAGGAGCGCGAGAGCGGCAGCGGCGCTGCCCCAGGGAGAGCGGCGCTGGGTTGAGGTTGCGGGCCTCCGGGGGCGTGCGGAGCGCCTCCTCTAACGAGGCCAACGCGCGATCGATCGCGGCAGACGCGCCACCAGACGCGTTGCCCGCTCTCATTAAGTCGCGCGCGGCCGCACCCACGAGGCCCGCGCGCCGGCCGCCGGGCCCACTGCCTCGCCCAGCTCCCTCTTTCCAGCCATGCCCCGCTACCCTCGCTCAGATCCGCTTCGTTCCGCCACACATTGACAGGCTCCGCCCCGCTTCGCTCCGCCCCGCTTCGCTCCGCCCCGCTTCGCTCCGCCCCGCTTCGCTCCGACCCGCTTCGCTCCGACCCGCTTCGCTCCGCCCCGCTTCGCTCCACCCGCTTCGCTCCGCCCCGCTTCGCTTCGCCCCGCTTCGCTCCGACCCGCTTCGCTCCGACCCGCTTCACCCCGACCCGCTTTGCTCCGACCCGCTTTGCTGATCCCGCTTCGTTTCTCCCCGTTCGCCCGCTCCGTTTTGCCCCGCTCGGTTTCGCCCTTCCCCGCTTCGCACCATTTCGCTTTGTCCCGCCCCGTTCTGCACCTACTCCAATTCGCTCCTTTCCGCTTCGCTGGTTACCGCTTCGCCTCCTTCACTTCTATCTGCTCTGCAAGGCCCCGCTTCACACCGGCGCGCTCCTCTCCGCTTCTCACCGCTCCGCTTCTCACCGCTCCACTTCTCACCGCTCCGCTTCTCACCACTCCACCATTTCGGACCTCTCCTCTACTCTCCGCCCCTTTTCACTCCGCTCCTCTTTGTCTCCCTCCGCTTCACCCGCGGACGCTTCGCCCGAGGCCGTCTCGAGCCCGCTCTTCCCCGTCTAGCTGCATTCTGCTCCACTGTGCTCCGCTCTGCCCCGCCCCACGCCCTCGCCTTGCCTGTACGCGCCTTTTGCGTAGTGTTTTCGACTGACTTGCTTCTCTCTTGGGAAAAGAGGACATTGGAAAGCACTCCTAGATATGCATTTCTTCTCTTTTGAAGTTACAGCTTGACGAGAATATAAGCCTGTTATCTTCGTACTCCGATCGCATCTAGTATTTCCCATTCCTTCCCACATTTTGTACGAAAGGGATCAACAATTAGGGTAAAAAGGAGAAACGGTTGTGCAGAAACGGATCGCGCGTGTCTCGAACTGAAGCTTTATGTTTAAGATATTACTTCGGGCTCCGTAAGGATTTCTATCAGAGAAAACCAGAGAAGTTACTGATCAGAGCAGCTCGCCTCTAGAATGTTCATAAAAGCAGTGGCGTTGTCCAATCCAGCTTCTAAGCTGCTGAAATCCTTTAGGAGGTTTCGAACCTACTATCATAGACCATAATTTGCAAGCTCCAGTTAAGGGATCCGTTGAAAAGAAACCCATCGAAATAAGTATTATTACATCACAATTTTAACGTGTATCCATATATCTATTTTTGTTTGCACAAGATATGAAAAAGAAATAATGAATAAATAAGAAACTCGGTTCCATATATTTAAATTTGATTAAGTATTAACGATTGAGTGTGAAGATTTAAATGCAATTATATTGGCGCCAAATTTCCAAGTACGATCTTCATCTGAACTGTTTTGGTTGCAGTAGGTAGCAATATTGCGCAGTGCATATAGGATTCCTAGACTTATTAACAATTTGTAAAATATGTTGCAGGATAATGACCATTGGAAGTTTGCCAGATGATGTGATTACCGAATTCTTCCGGATCATCCACGAAGACAACTCTGAGATGCCTCGCGTCTTTAAGACCCATCTGCCACGTGATCTTCTCCCCCGTCAGTTGTGGACGAAGAAACCTAAGGTACGACAACGACAAATTATAGTGGCTAACATTTCCGAATTCCCTTTCATATAATCTCGGAGAATTTTAGTATTAGCCCCAACATTTTCAATTTATCTCCTGGTAATGGAAACTAATTATCATTTAAATATTTTTTACAATGAATATTCAATATTTATATTATTTTGCGAGAAAGGCTCTTGTAGCTGATCAAAACAATATGTCTTATAGTAAGAATTTTTCGATTTTATCCTGAATTGAACGTATATTTAATGATGCATAAAAGCAAGGAATGATAGGTTTTTCAAAATAAAATTTAAAATCTTTCTTTAGTGAAGGAATTGAAATGTGTTGATAATAATCAAAATTGTTGTAGTGGAATTCTTTTCTTGTAGATTTCTAATATGTTGAAAAAACTGAACAAGTTGCAAAACTTCCTTTAATATTTAGATTCTTATTTTTAACTTTCATCACAGAAATTAGAATCCAGCGTTTTTTAATGTCAGAGCTAATAACCAATTACTATTTCGCATTAAATAATATTTGTCATCACAGAAAATTACGCTTTAATGAGTTAATATTTCACTAGTCCCATTTTGGGTATAAAGTTCCAAAGCAACGTTCTATAATGTGCAATTTGATATCAAAATGTATCATATGACAACAACAGTTCATTACAGTTAGCAGTTCATTACTCAAAAACCTTCCTGAAAGAATACTTATTCAATACACAATACGCCTCTTATTAATACATATATTAACTTCTCATTTCATAACAGGACGATTAAAAAAACACACAGCTCACATTTTACTTAAATTTGAAAAGCACATGAATCTAATAACATGCAAAGACACAAGTACAATTTAATAGGGCCCAACGCATTTAAAACTTTTGTCATTAATACACTTGAATCAATAAAATGACTTTCTGTCTCAAATTAATTTCTATGTAGTTAAGTGAACGTTTGCATAAAGTTTTTAATATTAAAAGATCCTATTTCTGGACGCTTAAAAAATGGCGAAGGCAAAAATTTCAAAAGAAATTGCAAGCTTGCTATGGTGCCATTTTTTTCGATACTGAAATCAATATTTTTAATTTCAGTGATTAAATAACCATTACTCTATGGACAGTTCTTTAGTGACACTAAGAGAGGGACTTCCATGGAAAACTTTGCATATTTCTAAATTCCATTGTTTTGGCATGCAAATCACAATCACGGTTTATGTTTGCAGATTATCTACGTATCTCGAGATCCTAAGGACGCAGCCTTATCTTACTACCACCATCACCGCCTCTGGAACGGTTACGTGGGCACTTTAGATGACTTCCTGGAGGCTTTCTTGGATGACACACGTGAGTACTATGACATCGATATAACTGCAACTCAAGCATCAACTGTATATCGCACGCCATCCATTACAACCTCGTCTAAACAGATTATACTCCAACAGAAATAAAAAACATACCCTTTTAACGCCTTCCTCCACATATTCTCGAACAATTCTTATCCGTAGGTGCATATTGTAGCTACCTAGTTGGAGTTAGTTTTTTAGATTAGAAATAAGAACAGTAGTAAGACATCCAATGCATATGAAAAAGGAAATGTAAACTGATCTATGTATTTCCAAATGAAAATTAAATATCTATTAAAAAATCTACGCCATTGATATGACAATGGAGGAATATTTAAATTTGTCTAAACATGTGTTCAGAAAGAAAAATTAACGCAAAAATAAAAAATAAAAACAAATTACAACAATTCTAATGCTTTGTTGTTTCTGGGTTAATTTTTCTTTCTGAAAAAATGTATTAATTTCTTTTGTAAGTAATAAAAAGTTTCTGGAATGTTTCTGCAATGCAAATGTTTGCATAGAAAGTTTTTTCTAACCAATTTTGAGTGCTTATTGCGGCTCAACCATTCGGAATATCCACAGAGTTTATCAGACAAAATATACTTAACATTGTCTTAGGAGCTAATTTTCGAAGTTTCGACATTTACTCCCTGGACACATGTATATACAGCATATCAGTGTAAAAAGCAGCGTTAAAATAAAATAAATAATCTGTATTATTTCTGTGGCATGATAAACTTTGCATCTTTTACATCACACCACCCCGAATCAACTGACGATGTGTCAAAAGAAGTAAGTGAAGAAGTGCACATTCATCTCTTAAAAAAATATTTGCTACAAACGAGGGGGGCTACAAATTCAATCCTGCAATGCACGGCATGCTTATATCTCTGCTTCTTGAAATTAAATGTGCATTACTAAAAAAAATTGCATCCTAGGATCTTAAAGCTTTGGTTTTGATGTCCGATGTCACGACTAGGTCACCCCTACGAATATTACATTTTTGGGCGTTTGAATATACACATACAGTGGCAAACGTAGGACAGTATCTCGGATGCTATTAACTCACGTTTTGCAAACGTATTTTTCTCTTCACGGATGAAGAGATCTCGCATTGATGCTCTAATAAAATGAAAATAAAATCCTGTTTTTCCGCATCATATCCAAAATATATACAAAAATAAAAGTAAAAACCAGCAATTCGTTTGTTCATTAAGTATGACATATTCGGCATATTTTAATCAACACGCCAAAAGTGCAAGTTTTGGTTATATATGATTGATTGTGAGAGTTTTTAAAAATAATACTGAAAAGAGCAAATACATTTTGTGTTTCAGTATTGTACAGCCCATTCTGGGAGCATATTCTGGAGTTCTGGAAGTTACGACATGAGCCAAATGTGTTGTTCAACACATTCGAGGAGATGAAAAAGGTACGTAGTAAAATGTTGAAGAAAATCTCTCATAATTTTGAACCCTTAATATACCAACTGTTAATTCCGGAATAATGAATGCCTGGTATCAATTTTTACGGAATACAATGCAGTAAAACAAAGGTCATTGGATTTGTTTAATGTGTAATATAATAATGTCAACCTACAAGTCGGGATCTAGGATATTGGTTTCCAATCTCACGTAAGGCATGGTTTTTCTGATCATGCAATTTTTGTTGTGAAATATACCGCCAATTTGGTGTACAGTACGTATTGTGATGTTATTGTAACGAATAATGGCATTAGAAATACACTTTTTTTAATGAAGATAAAAATCGAAATTCATTATGTTCGAATGCTAGGCTGTTGCCGGGACGTCTAATTATGCCGGGCGGTCTACGACGGATCTGGGTTTCATGTTGTCTACCACAATAGAAAATAGCACATTACTTTCATGTGCAACAAGCTGGCTATCTCTCAGCGCAGTCCACGATTGCTGGAAGAATAAGTTATTTTCACATGACTAGCTATTTCCCGATTATTTTAAATGTTTTACAAATAGCTTAGCTCTATTAAAGGAAAATAAATTGACACTTTTGTTTCTATAACAAACAATGCCCAGAAAAATAAAAATAAATGTGGGATCGTTTAGTCTCGATAGAATGCAATTCTTCTTTAAAACTACTTCCTAGGCCCATTGAAATATGAAGGGTATTTGCAACAGAACGGTTTCTCTGTATGACACTAGCCCAAAAGGATATATATCTTTCTGGCCGGATATACACGGTACATTTTTTGTGCAGATTCGCTTACAATTTCTTTACAGAAACCCAAGATCCCAAACTAGAAGTATAAAAGCTAAAGAGTCGTGCTTGCACGGTCTGCACGTTTTCCACGTGAATCGCCGCAAGGCGTGGTCGCGGGTCAACCGGGGAACAACTGACTTGCGCCGTCCGAGTACTTTCAGTGGCGGTATTTCCGTGCGGGCGTTGTGATCTTTATGACGTATTAATTAACCACGAGGGGCACAGAGAAGAAAGAAAGGAAGGCGGGAATAGGGAAAGATGTAGTTTCTCACAATACCACTTAACACAATCGCCCCTTGACACACCTAACCAAAAAACGAAACGGCCGATTACCGTCGCGTTGGGAAACAAATCCCTTAGTGAACGATTCTTCCACTAGAATCAAACTGTGAGCTTCCTGCATGAAAAATTACGAACACGTTAAAAACTTTTCATGCAGAAATCGTGCAGTCTGGACAGCACGTTTCTTTACGTCCGATCTGCACGAAAACTGTACCGCGTATTCCGGCCTTTAGATCTAATACCGAATTCCAAGGTTCGTCCACCGTAGGAAACAACTTAATATTCACATTCAATTTTTTATGTCGGCGCATTACTCCGAGGCGCACAGCAACGGTTAGAGCGAACAGGAAACGCAAACACGCTCCTCTTCGGGGAGGTTTCTCCGCTCTGGACTTTTCTCCCCCGCGCGCGGCGCGCTGAAATAAGCTCTTCCGCTCGCCTCG